CACAACACAAAGGGGTAGCTATCAACACCCAATTATTGCTCAATCTGCCGCTTAAACCCCAATCTATCATGAACACCCGATTAAACCTATTTGATCCTTCCAAAACACCAAAAAACTTTAAAATCCAAAATTTCAACCCAAAAGTCTTCAAACCCATCGTTAAACCTATGTGATACCGACACGATGGCCCTTATTAACTCTTGTCTATACCTCGACCATTAGATCAAACACCACAATCAGACCCAAGACTTACTAAAATACTCGTGAAATTTTAACCCAAGATTCCTTTGTTTCCTCTTTCATGAAATGAATATTCCCTTTCGAGTCTTCTCGTTAGCTTGAAACACCTATAACCCAGATCTCCTTGATTTTAACACCTCTAAACCAATCAGATTGTACGCATGAACTTTGAACACACCAAAACACCTATTCATAAAGTTTTCAACCCAAGATTCCCCCATTTACCCCTTTTTCAAAACTTGTTATTCAATCGGTTCAGTCTTTAAAAAGACCGAAGGTTCCAGTTCGGTTTTGATTGACCAATACAGAAAACCAATGGTTAACCGAATTGGTCAGTATACTTATATTTCTATATATTTTATGTGTATATATGTATATTATATATATATATTATTTTCTATATATTATAAATCTATAAATATGCATTATATATAAATATGTATTTATAATATATAATATATTATTTACTATTTAAAAATATAATATTTCATATATATTTATAAATTTTGTATAATATATATTATAAATATAAAAAATTGAAAACCAACAAACCGAACCGATGATTAACTGGACTGGTCAATTGGTTAACCGATAAACTTTGACTCTATTTCATTAATTGGTTTTTCAGAAACTGGTAATACCAATTCAATTTAAAAAATAGGCCCTTAATTGAACCGTGGGTACCCTTACACTCATTGACCCAAATTTTTGTGATTTTGACCCCCCGAAACCAATTAGATATTACCATTAGGTCCTAGGCATCCTAAAGACCTTACTTACAAAACTTAAGCCCAAAATACATTTGTTTGTTCCTTTATTTCACTAAGATTCTGTTTCGAAGCCTCAAATTAATTGAGCTACTCCCCCTCCATGTCTGCCTGATCTAGGCACAATTGGGGAAATCCGACCTCACTATTCATTCAAGAATACTCAGAAACCCCTCCTTACCAAATTTTAGCAAAAAATAACCTTATTTAGCCATTCAACTAAAAAGATTACGTTTATGCCAATCTTCATGGTGTTTGGAAGCGTGGGCGCTTTTTAAGACCAATTTTCAAGAAAAAAATGCCCATGCTTCCAAGACCTATTTTTCAAAAAAAAAAAAAAGCGCTTCTACCATGTAGGTACTAAGTAATAGTATGCTGTTTGGTAAGGTGATTTTTATCACTATTTTTTATGTATGTGTTGGCAGGTAAGCACCACATAGGATATACATCAGTCAATTGTTGGGGGAAACGATTCACCAATACATGAAACGCTAAACATCAATGGGGTCCCAATTTTCAAGACATGCCCGATTTTTTAATAATCGACTGAACCAAACAATGAGATACATGGGCGTTTGTTGAAACGCCTATGTTGATCTGATGTAGCACCGTTTTTTTTTTTAAATGGCCACGGTTCCAAACATCCCCCTATTAACCCGCATATGCAAATCAAAACCACTCTTTATACTTAAACCATCTCAACCCTCAATCTTTGACCCAACAACTCTTAGAATCACGATTTGACTCTTTAAATCCAAAATTACCATTCTCTCTCTTCTCATTTCTTTTCCCTCGCCTTCTATATTTCATTTTCTTTTCTCTCGTCACTTCCCTTCTCTTTTTCTTTCTCACCCCTCCCACCGTCCCCTGTTTTTCTCAGACGTCACCGTCGCTGCAATTCCCAGTAGCAGTGACATTCCCTTCCTCCTCACATTCTCTTTCTTTCTTTCTCTCTCTCATTCTACTCCCTTTTCTCCCTCGTGTTCCCGATATCTTTCCCTCACCCCTTCCATCATTTATATTTGCGCTTTGGATCATTATTCACCATTGTCCTCAAACTCCCAAACTCGAAACAGACGTAGCAATGGTGGCAAACCATTGATTCTCTGAAAGGCAGAACTTGAGTCCAGAAGTTTGTTTCTTCCCACCAAACTGTTGGGAATAAGCCTACTATCTCACAATAGCCAAATAACACTTAATCTGAATTGAAGCAAAGTAATTCTCATTCCCTCTTTGTGTAATTAAATGAGCATGCAAGCCAAACAATATCAACCAAATAGAAAGTGTATGCAATAACAAGAACACAATCCACACATAATGACACAAGATTTTAACGTGGAAAACCCTCCAAAATGAAGGGAAAAACCACAGGCAATTAGCCACATAAAACTTCAACTAATAAATTTAATGGGATACAACAAACTTCTTCTCTACCAGTAAATCTAGAGGATATTAGCATCAACTATTCAACCAAGAAAAGATAGATTTCATCACATATTATCAAATAACTCAGAGACAAAAATAAATCTCACCAAAAAAATAATAGAGAAGAGGAATAACAAATCAATGCAGTAGATACGCAACTTGAGGCGTAGTTGACTGCATACTAAAATCCCAAGCCGATTGGAGAAAGGATCAAAGCAGTATTCTTCACTCATGAGAACTCAAAACTTTTCTTTTTCTTTTCCCTTACTCTCTCTCTTCTGTTTTCGGTGGTAGACTATTTTCTGTTCGCCTAAGTTTTTTTTTTCTTTTAACGCTCCTCACTTCTCTCGCATGCGAAGTTGAGAAGTCGCTTTGCATGAGTGTCTTTGAATCCAATGAGTCTCTTCGAATCCAACTTTGTTTTATTGTTTGTGGGCCCTCCACGTGGGAAGGGAGCCCAACCAACACAAACTACCTGTTACATCGCCGGTCGTCATTGCCGTTCGAAGCTAGTAGTCGGTGACTGAAACTGATCAAGATCTTTCCCCTGCTCCTCTGTCACCGTATCGTTAGTAGCAGCGGCAGCTCGAACGTCCCAACACTCTCTCGGTTGAAAGCCATTCATCATATTGTTGTTCAAACGAGGCGGTCCGGGAAGGCCGAAGCCTGACCCAGGTCAGCTCTAATCTCGTAGCATCTTCCCTTTACTTCTTCGTTCGTGTTTTTTTTTTTTTTTTTTTCACTCGTTCTGATATGGGATGACAAAGTTGGGTTGCCAAAGCCGGTGGTGAAGCTCCGGCTGAACTGGTTCCGTGATTTTTTGACAAAGTTGGGTCCCTATTCTGTAGAAACTATTTATTGATTTTTTTCCTTATGTAAGAGACGTTTGCTTTGATTGTTTTGCCCATTCTCATTATGCTATGGTTTCTTCTTCTTCTTCTTTTAAGGATGAAATTTAGTTTTAATGGGAATGTCATAAATTTCAAATTTCGGTGATCTTTATTCTTGCGTAACCGCTCCTTTTGCTGAACTTGATGATTTAAGATTGGTATGTGTATGAAAATTGATCTGTTCATTAACAGTAGTTTCACTCAGACATGATGTTTGCCGTGTTATCTCAATAGAGTGTATGCTGTATTTTAAACCGGAAGGTTGTTTGGGGTGATTACCGAATCTGTAGGGCTATTTGATATGATTTAAATCAGGGAAGGGTTGATAACATTAAATTAATTGCATGGTTGAGACTGAAATTTGACATAAATTTTCAATTTGAATGTTTCTGTTTACTTAACAATTCAGATAAAAAAGGAGATGCACCTGTTTGCACTTTATGGACTAGATATAGGCCTAGCACAAAATACATTAGTTATGGATTATCTAATATTTTCTCCAAGTCTTGAAAATTAGTAACAAGCCGTGGGTGTGGATTTGTCTGTTTTGTAATTTTTTTTTCTATTTACTTTATTGTTTTTAATTCTAAACGCACCAACTTTATGATATGTATTTTTAAACAAAACATAGCAATTATGAATTATGAATTATGACTTTCCATGTTAGTGGAGTCTCATATGAATGATGAGTCATAAAACAGAAAAAAGGAGAGATTAGTATTTGGGGGGATTATGACAGGGTCTTTTTAAGTAATTCAGAATATTATTTGCTGGATTGTATCAGGAATGTTCTGACAAAAGAAAAACCGAATGTAGTGATGTATAAGAAACAAAACTCCAGGAATTGGACAGGCAATGGATAAGGATCATTGGAGTAGTAGAGGCCTAAGTTGGGCTTATGCCCCTTCAAGGGGTGCCTTAGGTGGCATACTTACAGCCTGGAAGAATGGGGAAGTGGAGTGCCAAGAAGAGGTGATTGGTCAATTCTCTTTGTCTATAAAAGCAAGAAATGTGAGTGATGGAAGAGAATGGGTGCTGACAACTATGTTTGGCCCTAATTCATGTAGAGATATGGTCCTATTTTGGGAAGAACTAGCTGCAGTTATACAAACGAAATTGAGGTTGCACGATCTGGTTGGTCCCTCGTGTCAGATAATTCGGGCGCTGATTCAGGTGATTCCTTGTTAGGGTCGAGCTGGTGGTGACTAAACTAAAGTGCTTCTGCAGGTGAAGATATTAGAGTGTTTGAGTTGTTTTTACTCAAGAAGGGCACTCCAATGTTTAAGTCAGAAAGTGTTTAGAGATTTCTTTAAAAAAATTAGGGAGTGTATGTACCTTCTTCTCAAGTAGAAGTGAGTGCTTTATATAGGTTTCTATAGTCAAAACCTTTTGCAAAATGTCTCATATCTTGATTGGACACGTTAATATGTCGGTTGCGAGATCTACGTGACTGTTACATTATGCCCGGGGAATGCCTAGGCGCTCGTCCAAAACCCCCGGATTTTGTATAATAGGCACTCGCCCAGAGACTTAAGCGGGCGCCTACGTACATCTAATATATATATATATTTTTTAACTTGTTATTTTGATATTTTATTAGATGTTTTATTCTTTTAAAATAAAACCGGTTACATATTATCATTATTTTATTATGAAGACAACAATGCAAAGCGTTTTTCTTCTTCTTCCTCGGTTACATGCACAAGGGTTTTTTCGGTTCGATTGGAGAGGGAGGAGAACCGAAGACTTCATTCCCCAGCCGAACTCCATCGCACCTCAGCTTCAGCAGGTAAGTTTTTTCTCTTCTTCTTCTTCCAGCCCAGCTTCAGTCATTTTTTGCTTTTTTTTTTTTCAAAAAAATAGGGGCTCCACCCCTATACTCCTCCCTTCCTCCACAGCTCCACTCATTCTTCTTCTTCTTCTTCTTCTTCTTCTTCTTCTTCTTCTTCTTCTTCTTCCGCCCCTGATTTTTCTCAGTCGCTAGTCCTACTCTCAGTCCCTTTTTTTTTTTTGAAAAAACAGGGGCGGAGCCCCTATACTCCTCTCCGCCCATGACTGTTCTCAGTCGATAGTCTCAGACTCTCAGTCCCTTATTTTTTTTTGAAAAAACAGGGGTCTATACTCCTCCCTGCCCCAAATCCCTATACTTCTTCTTCTTCCTCTTCTTCTTCCGCCCCTATACTCCTCTCCTCCCTTCGTAGTTCCTGCACTTATTTATTTATTTATTTTCAGTTAATAGTTAGTGTACATGCTTGCTAGTTAGTGTATAGTTAGTGTACTGTGTACWTGCTTGCTAGTTATATGAAATTTATAKTTTTATACTCATTTGAATGATTTATAGAGTTAATAGTTAGTGTACATGCTTGTTAGTTAGCACACAAAACCATTAAAATAGCTTACAAAAGCATGGATAAAGTAAAAACTCAAGAAAATTAATATTTTAAAATTCCAACGCCTAGGCGGCGCCCTGTGGTCGCCTAGCCTCGCCTTGGCGCCTTGAAAACTATTGTGGGGAACCAATCCGTTCGTCCTGGCCGAGGTGGAGGTTGGCCTTGGCGAGGTGTTTCAGGCTAACTTGCCGAGTTAGTTTGCTTACTCAGCGTCAAGGTGTCACTCGAAGGCCACGTGTTGCGAGACGATTAGAAGGACTAAATTATCCCTCATCAATTGCCCCCACTCTCGAGCCTACGTCAGCTCGGCGAAGGGAGTAGTTTCTAATTAGGTAATTGGTCCGACTGGTTTGTAGGTTGCCCGACTTGCTTTCTTGATCCGGTCTAAAGTTGAGCAGAACCATGACAATTTTTTCAAATTTCAAGTCCGGGAAAGAGGTGCCCACTGCGAAATTTAAAGCACACGTTGTTTTCAAATTTGAAAAAGCGCACCCTCCGTGGGCGCACAAATTTTGAATTCAAAATATTTCGCGCGTGCTACTAGCTGTAGGTTTGCTGTAGATGCATTTGCAGCGTTCGTCTCTTTGTCCGATGGGTTATAAGTAAGGGGTCCCCACTGAGGTCCCACTTACACTGTTTCTTTTTGGAGCTTTCTGGGGTGGTGTCTGACTAGAGGAGGTCCTGGTCCGAGTTCTCCTCTTTGTTGAGATTCCATTAGTTGCCATCGCCGGTCTTCTTTACCTTTTTCGATGAGTATTCTAGTTCTTCTGATGTCCCACAGTCCGTCTGAGAGTAGGTCATCCGACCAGAGGTCGGAAAGTGAGGCAAGCTCCTCGGGGAAGGACTCCTATGGGGAATACTGTGCTGGATCTCTAGTAGGGAAAAGGCACGAAGTTGAGCAGGTTATAGCTATTTTTGGTCCGACTAAGTTGTCTGGGGAGCGGATAGTTGAGTTGTGTCACACCTATCAGATCCCAAGTGAATATAATTGTCACACCGAGATGTAGTGTGCGTTTACGAGGAGGCGCTGGTCGTTGGTTTCCGATTCCCCCTTCACCCTTTCATCATTTCCGTGTTGAGGTACTATGGTGTATCTTTGGGTTAGCTTGCTCCCAACGCGATCCAGACTTTGGTGGGGCTGATAAGCTTGTCCCACCACCACAACTTCCCTCTAAACCTTGACGTCTTCTCTACCTTGTGTAATATGAAGAGAGTTTCTGGCCCTTTCTGCTTCTATCTTCCTTTCCGAAGTGGGTACAAGGTGTTGACCGACTTTCCCAATAAAGTTAAGAGGTGGAAGAGCAAGTTTTTCTTCCTTTCTAGAGACGGTGGTTGGGGTATGAACACCGTCTGGTATAGCAACTGTCAGAGCTTTGGTGAGAGTCAGGATGAGGAGCTGTGCGTTGTGTTTCAAGAATTTGTCAACCGAAAGATCGAAGTAGAGAGTGTTCTGGCCGAGCCTATGCTTATACAAGCCGACCTGAGTCGCATAGGTAGGTTGGTCATTGAGTTTTCTTCATCTGCATTTGATATTTCCTTGATAATTAGCTCGACTAACTATTTTTTATCTTCTTTAGATATGGCGAGCATGGCTTCAATGTTGGCAGTCTCTAGGGAGAAGAAGTGAGGTCGCCGCACCCCTCTCCTCTTGTCGTTGACCTCGAGGGAGGCAACGAGCCCATGAAAACTGACCAGTACTCATATGGCCCCTCTACCTTCCAACCTCAGGTCGGTCAGGAAGAACGTGAGGTCGACCCTTACGTTTCAGACATCCCTCGCTTTGTTCCCAACATCGACCATTTGTTTGAATTTGAACCTGCCACACCTCGACCTTTTGAACACATTAAAGCTTGAGCAAAGGTTTTACACATACCCATTGAAACTCTGATCTACTGCTTTGAATTACCAAACTGAGAGGTAAGTGAATTTACACCTTTCCAATTCTTAGCCTTTTTTAGTTTCCTTATTCATGAGACTTCCCAATTTTCTCTGTTCTCCTCTCTTTCCAAGGTTTCCTTGAGACGAGGTTTTGGTCACGCCAGCTTCTTCTTCTCTAGCCCTTCCTTCCTTCCCCCATTGAGCTTCCATAGAGGAAGCTATCCAAGCTTTGAAAATCCGACCATCCAAGAAAACATCTACAGAACGTGGGATGAGTTTTGGCTTCGCTCCATTCACTAGGGATGCAAATGGATTGGATTAGATTTGAATAAGGGTATATCCAAATCCTATCTGACACTGTTCGTGTCGGATCCGATCCGATCCTAAGATCTGGTTAGATCTGATAGGCCTCGATTTGAATTCGAATCCTATCGGTAAGTTGGATCTTCGGATTTGATTCGGTCCGACTTGTTTTCTTTGAAAATTAACAAGTTATTAAAAGAAAAATAAAATATACCAATTTAAATAAAAAAACAAAGATTACAAGTATTTTTAAGTATTTTCATCATATATATACCTAATTTTTATAAAAAATAAATAATATAACAAATTTAAAAACATACAATATAAATAATATTATTTATAAATAAATAAATAGCATATATATTATATATGTTTATATTTAGAAATATATAACATATATTGGATTGGATAGGGGTGATTCGAATCCGATCCGAAGATCCAAACAAAGTTGATCCAAATTTGACCAAATAGGATTGGATCGGATCATGATCCGATCCATTTGCACCCCTACCATTCGCATCTATAAGCACAGCTTGGAGGTCTGAAGCATCCACAGTTGTGAGTTCCCCACCAGACAACTTTGCAATTCTGTTAAAAATCTTATCCGACCATAGATGATAAGGCAGCCCCAGAATTCTCATCCCAATGCTATCTTTTGGGTTTACAATTTTCGCATTGCAACTTGGGGACCATCTTCCTACCACTGCCATTCCTTGCTTTGTTACTGCCGGCACAGCTTCAGTGTTCGGCCAGGGATTTCTACAAGATACCACAGCCTTCTGCCCATCAATAGGAATAATCTGCAGCGTTTCTGATACCTTCAAAATTTGTTGAATTTCTTCACCCAGGGTTTTCCAATCTGTAACATCCTTACTCATGGATAATACTAATTTGTTCTCCCACTCTGTTTTGGATTTATTGATCCACATTCTCATTGACCCTAAACTTGCATCAATCTGAACATCCTTATCCGCATTGATTCCCTTTTTTTCTTTTTCCTTCCGCTCTGTTTCTTCCATCTTCTCTTCAAGTTTCTTCTGACCCTCTTCCTTTCTGAATGGAGAACTTCGTCTTTCATATACTAACACCAGAAAATCCTGCATTGCTTGTATTAGTTTACCCCAACCCGAGGCTTCTCTCCCTTCAGGGAAGCAAGTGAACTATTTTAGACCCTCCCCATAATATTCGTAGATACCCACAAGTCTTCCTTTTTTGTTTTCTCCTCTTTCAGCAGAATACCTTCTTCCCTCTTCCACAAGACTACACTTCCATTCTATTGTTCTCAAAATTCTCTTTGCTCCCTTCAGGAATCCCTGAAACCAGGAGATTGCCTTCTCTTCAAGGATCAGCGAAGCTTTTCTCAGCTCCACTACCTTCAGGGAAATTCCTCTTCTTGTCCAAACTTCTTCGAAGACAAACGTTTTTGCCTCGATCTTCAGAACTCTTCTCCATCTCCTTGCTGGTGTGAATTCCATCCTCCCCACTCTGTCACCAAGGAACCAAAATTTTCAAGGACTAGAAAGATCTAAGAACGAGTTTCTAGATTGTATTACCATTAAGGTAGCACATTGGGTAACAACAATTGATTTGTTAGTTCTTAGTTGATGATATAATCAGAGGTAGCGAACTCTTTAAAGTCAAAGCCTACAATCCAGGAGAGTTGGGCCCCATCATAAGATGAATTTTGACAGAAGCTCACTTGGTAATCCTGGACCATCATATATAGGGGGAGCTTTAAGGGATGTAGGAGGAAAAATCTTGGCTTTATACTTGGGGCCAATAGGGGTGGGAGACTCACTAAGAGTTGGAAGTGATGGCCCTCCTTCAAGGCTTGAGGTTGGCTAAACAGTTGGGCTTCCAATAGTTCGAAGTGGAGGGGACTCAAGATGGTGATGTGTTGGATGTAGGCAGATAATCTAGGGATCTAGACCCACAGACAGGCCATGGGGGAAACCAAATGTCTAACAAGGGAGATTGGTGTAAACTTTAGATGGATTAGAAAGTCAGCCAATTGGCTGGTTGATTGTTTAGCCAAACAATGGTCAGCTGGTGGAGAACTTTTTTGGGCTGCATTGTAATTTTGGATTCTTGTATGGGGTCAGCAGTCCTTAATTTGGGTTCTTGACATTTGTAATGACTTTTATTAATCATTGAATGGAAGTTACCATTTCCAATAAAAATTGTGAATTATAACTTTCTGATAATACTGTAGAATGTCATTAACATTTATAAACATGATTAATGAAAACTAAACCTATTTTTTTTCTAGATAATAAGCCCATTTGTCATTATAGATAAGTTTAGATCCATTGTCTTTTAGACATTTTAAAAATAAATCAATGCAATTCTAATTTTTGTTTTCTTCTCTTTGTTTTTGAAGTAAGTTGCTAGAATTTTTCCCCATGAATAAGCTCTATCTTTAGCTTTGTTCAAAATGAGCAGTGCATGGCCTGTTTAATCAATTATCAATTTCTTTTATTTTACAGTTAAATGGTAGTGAATGGTTCATTAGGATAATTCTCATTATAGTTAATTTTCATTGAATAACTTTTATTTTTGTTTTATTTTTTGTGATCTGATAAACCTCATTTATTTTACTTTTTTAGGTAATTGGAATTCTTGGACACTTTTTTTATGAATAATTGCCATTATCATTTAAATCACTATCTCACTTCACATTTGTCATACTGTACCAATTCATATCATTTAGGTTAGTAGATAGCTTGCATTTTAATCTGCTGGTAATGTTCATATTTTAGTTGATTTGCCTAATCCTCATTTTGGTTAACATGCATAATTTCCATCTAATGTGAAAACATAATCCCCCCATTAAGTCATTGAATTGTTATCTTCTATTTAGGTTATTGAACAATTTTCATCCTATGTCATTCAATGATCCTCTTGTCATTAATAACTTCGATCACATGCTAATGGATATTCTTAGTTTGAGTGCACGATCGTCTTAATGATTCCTCTCATTAAGTCTTAGTATGCACTTGTTACGATATTGAATAATCTTCTTCATCTTAGTATGCACATCTGTCTTTTAGTTAACTTGAATAATTACCATCTTAATTATCCTTTTGTCATTAGATGATTTTGTCTCTTGTGTTATTACATAATTTTCATCTTGTATTTGGTTGATAATTCTCATTTTTTGCATTTGTTTGGATAATCTTGTTATCTTGTTTGTGTCCTTTTGGGTTTACCCATATGATTTGGTCCCATCTACTAGACATGGGAGAGGGGTGCCTAACCCCTTCCCTCTCCCATTTCAAACTTTACCCAAACTGGTTTAATTTGTGCCTTATATGGAGTTGTTATTAGGACTAAACTAATTTCAAGTAAAATTAACCCGGAGGGTCTATCACCTCCATTTCACTCAAATGATGGGTGGTGACTCCATATCAGCTTCAAGTGAGTCACCTGGAGTCCTCACAGCAACCCAACCTGCCAAGTTGCACCCTTACTCTTTCTGGTTCCCATTTTATGGTCCCATTTTTAAATTCTCAACCATCAGACTGATAACAAGAACAAAGGCCTCACTGGTCTGTTTTGTTATTTTTTGGTTTGTCATTCAGCCTTGGCTCCGCTTTAAATCTTCAAGCAACAATGGAAGTTGAAGGCCAGCAAGAGATGAATAACGTGATGTGCCTTTTAATGGACCCGGAAGGCACCCCCCTTGGAGCTCCCATGTATCTTCCTCAAAATGCTGGACCTCTACAGCTCCAACAAATCGTCAATAAACTCCTCAATAATGTAAAATTCTCTCATTTAAAGTTTTTTTTTTGATAAGTTCTCTCATTTATAGCTTCAATTCTGTTGTTCTTGTTTTACTGCTTTAACTTCTAAATATTCAATGTATATCTTGCTTATGTGTTTCTTGTGGGGTTGTTGTGAAAGTCCATTTCAAGTTATAACTTCCTCTCAGTTTATTGTTGTAACCTTCATATCTTTTGATTTGTTGAGACTAGATACAAGAAAGGAAAGGATTAGATGAAATTGCCTTTTTCTTTTGAAGAAGGTAAAGTGTAATTAGTATTGAGTATCAAAAAGTGTATACAATATGGTCCTTTGTAGAAAGAGTTTCTATACATATGAATAAATCTTAAGGACCCCAAAATCTGCATGTAGAAAGAGTTCCCAAAATCTGCACCTGGAGAGGATCATAAGCCGGATTCAGCCCATGCAAAAAAGAAAAAACCCGCTGTTGGGAGACAAGTTTTTTATAGTCCTATGCATCTTCATCATTCCTCCAGTCAATAGTCTGATAATAGTCCAACTCCTTCTAGACAGATGTAAGGGTTGAGTAGTATGTAGATAGGCTACGGTCCCCTTGTCTACATGTAGATGATTCTGCTTGAAGTTGATAAATCTTGACAAAGTGCCTCTGTTCAGAATAGGTTGCCTTGGGCTTGTTCCCAAATTTCACAGGGGTCAGCCCATATGAATTTTTTTCTTACATAAGGTAACATGGAGCCTAACAGCCATGACATAACCATGCTGTTTTCTTGATCCCATTGATCATGTTCAGCAGTACTGGACTTTGGTTCTTTTATTTTTCCACTTATATAACCAGCCTTCCCCCTAGCTGTAACATAAAGTTTGATGCCCTTGGACCATTTCAAATAGTTCAGACCATCAAATGGAGTAATGGACATGGAGAAATTCATGCCGTCCATCCCCCCATTTAAGTTTCCTTGCTGGGAAGTAATACTAGAGGTTGCTGAATCCTCAGTAGCCATTTTCACAGAAAATCTACTGCTGTTTTTTCAACAAACTGAATCTGATATGGAGGGTTTTTGTCTGAAAAGAAAGATAGGAGTCTCCAAAAACAAAGTTTAACAGTACTGTAGGTGATACCTTTTCGATGAAACACTTCGGTTTCCAGGAGGAAGAGACAACCAGTCCGTACAATCATCAAAACTGTGACATTCTCAGTGGTCAAATGTTTACGTGTGAATGTAATACTGCATACCTGTCTTCCATGACCCACAGTACATAGAAAAACTCCTCAGAAAATCAAGTTTTGTTGCATTCGGCTGCCACCACAAACCCAGAAAATCACTTTATTGCATTCGGTTGCCACCACAGATCTAGAGATGTCTTTTACTGCATTCGGCTGCCACCACATCCTTCTCCTTGGTACAGCAACCAAGAGAGAAGAGAAAAAAATTAGGGCTGAAGGTTGCGTCCAGAAGAAGAAAACCCGATCTGAGAAAAAAATAGATTTCCAGAGAAGGTAGGAAATCACAATCTGAGAAGAAGAGAGAACTTGCGCCCAGATCAGAGATGCTCTGATACAATGTAGTCGACAGAGAAGAGAGAAGAGAGAAAAGAAATTGTATATTCAGATCTAAAGCTGGCGGCACCTAAGTTGGTATATATACTTAGGGCGACAGCTCATAAGAATTTACAAGAGGAAAGGGCAGAAATGCCCCTACTAGGCCACACTACATATTACAACAAAAACTTTATTGATTCCCCTCAAGAGTCAAGACACTACAGCCATAAGACACCTGAGAGCCTTCTTTATCCTACCCATTGGCTACACTTTTCAGCAATCACCTTTGTCCACAAGTCATCTGGCTCAGCCACAAAATGCCAGAGCCAACTACCCTAGAAGTTCCATGTTAGAGCTTCTCAGCTTTCTTATACCCAGCCCTCCACGGGAGATGGGTTTGTATATCTGGTTCCAGCTTACTAAGTGGTGCTTTTCCATGCCCTCCCAACCTGCCCAAACGAAATCATGCATGTTTTTTTTTTTTTTTTCAATTTTCTCTGCTCTAACCCTAGGAAATGATCTTATTTGCTCAAAGCAAGAAGCGAAGAACATATGTATTTGTTTCTTTGTTAGGAATATATGTTTTCATGAATTGAATAAATCATATTGATGATTTCCATGAGAGGCTAGTTGAGGTATTAGTGAAATCTTCATTGATTGTAGGGAAAGTAATATGGTGGTAGGCATCTGGTCCTGGTTATAACCTTTTTATAACGAGTGAAATTTTGTAATCTAGGCTCAGTTTGGAAGGAGTACAAATTCAAATATGTAGATTGCAAAACCTTCTATTTTATATTATTTTGTATGTATTTGTACTGTACATATTTGTATTTGTACTCTTTCCAAACTGAGCCCTAAGGATTTCCTCCATTATCTACTGGTTAGTTTGAAGATGAAATTTGCGAATGTTAAACTATATTTACTAGAGGAAAGGTTGCTAATTTATTTGTTTATGTTTGTATTTTTTGTTGGGGACATACCCATACTGGTATTTGTGGATTGAGATTTAGTGTTCATTGGTTTGTTCAGGAGGAAAAATTGCCTTACTCTTTTTACATATCGGATCAAGAGCTTGTAGTGCAGCTTGGATCTTATCTAGAGAAGAACAAAGGTTGATGAATTAAAAAAAACTTCTGTCTTTTTAGTTTGCAATGCTTGCTGATTTGTTTGCACAAGTGCAACATATTATTTGTGAATCCATGAGTTTGTTGGTAGCTGATTTTCTTTTCTTTTTTTCTCCTCTTGTTTGTGGACTAAAATTGCAGTTTCTGTGGAGAAGGCGTTGCGCATAGTTTACCAACCTCAAGCAGTTTTTCGAATCCGTCCTGTTAATCGGTGTTCTGCAACTATTGCTGGTATTGAATCCTATTTCATTTGTTGATTTATTGCCACTTCACTAGTTCGTGTATTCTCTCACATTCAAGAGTTGTTTCAGTCTTACTACCAAAATAATAAATGTAAGCATCATATATTTGTCTATTTTGGGTGTTCTGGAAATGCTATTCTTGGATTTTTAGATCTTGTCAGAATGGTTTTTGTGTCTGTGGTCATGCATTAATAATATTTGTTATCAGATGTTGCTTCTTTTATTAGCTTCAATGCTTTTATCGAAATAATGTTTTTATGAGGATCATGCATAAATGCATTATACACAATTATTTCATGGTTTTGTTGACAACATAAAAAAAGAAATCATTTTGTCATTTTCTTGACCTCAGATTTTAACCAAGGTTTAAAATTTCATAATGTATCAGCCAGTATCGACCGATATGTATCATTTTGGCAGAGATCTGATACATAGAACATATAGAATTCAATAGTTTTGTATTTTTTCTCTTGTACCAGGCCGATATGGGTCTGTATCGGTCTCGCATCGGACCGCTTCGGGTATATATTGACCGATAAAGTACCGAAATGGACTGATACACACTATGTATCAGCCGATTTTAATTTCCCTCTCTTTCTACTTTTAAATTCAAATTTAAATTTAATTTATCTCTTCTCTCTTTCTCTCTTATTTATATCACTTTTAATTAAGCCTTTAAGTTTGAGACATCATTAAATGCTAATATTATTTAATTAAAGGGTAAATTACAGATAAGATAGGTATCCTGTACTTTGGGTGTAGTGACGGATAGGTACCCTGAACTTTCAATTGCAACACTTGAGTATCCTAAACTTTCAAAAATAGACACTTGTGTCCATCTGTTAGTATTCCGTCAGTTAAATATTACACAATGTCAAAAATATCCTTATCGTGTATTTTTGAGATCATTCTACAAAGTAAAATCATCACCAGATAATGTTGTCGTCAGAAAATTTGAATATGTTATTTGCTGTCCATGTGTGAATGTCATTGTGGGGAGATGTTTGGTTACCTGAGAATGATCTCAGAAATACAGGAGAAGGGTATTTTTGACATTATGTAATTTTAATCGATGGAATACTAACGGATGGACCTAAGTGTCTATTTCTGAGAGGTTAGGGTACTCAAGTACTGCAATTGAAAGTTCAGGGTACCTATCTGTACTACCGCCAAAGTACAGGGTACTTATCTGTAATTTATCCTTAATTAAATGCTCATTTGAGTTACCTTTAATTAAAACATTTAAGGTGCCATTAAATGCTAATTAAGTCAAATAATTTGTTAAAATCATAAGTTTAAGGTAAGAAGTTTTGAACCCTAGTCATTTATTTACAACAGCAACAACAACTAATTTGCCACTATGCCAACCTTGCTTATCTTAAATGCATCCATTTTTGTTCTTAAAGTAATTATTCTTCTCTTGGTGGATGTTTCTCAATAAATGCTAAAGTTTGATTATTAAAATTTATATAATAATAAGATTAATACAAATTATATTTATTTTTTAAAAATTAAGGTATATATTAACTTATATGCATAATAAATATTATATACATCTATATATAATAAATATTAATTAATAAATGACTTCAAAAAATATTAACTAATAAACATTCGTATATCTACACAAACATTAAGTTCTATTATTTTTCAATGGTTACTAATTATGTCCCAATACTTTATATAAATCATTAAATATGGTTTTTATGTTTAAATAAATTAGTTATAATCACATAAAACTCATTTTTATTGTTGTTAATATATTTTCTAAGGATTTGTTTTTTTTTGAATTTTCTAGTGTATCCATGTGTATCTTGATTTTTCATCCGTATCTATGCGTTTCCAAAGCGTATCTAGATACGCCTCTTAAAATTACCTTTCTGATACACCTTGTGTTTCCAACACTTCAAACCTTGATTTTAACTTGGAATGACACTTTGATGGATGGATAACTGGGACATACTGAACTAGTTAATGGACCTTAGTAACTTAGTGGTCTAGGCAATTAATAGGCCCTAGGTTATAGCAAAGGCTTGCAATACATAGAGGCCACTCTTTGAAATTCCAGTAGTTGATGCTTATTACCAAGTTACATGCATTGTATACAATGTATTTATGTTATTATAATTCAAATCAAAGAGCTTATATATATACACTCACACTCCTTGGAAGCATGTTTTGAAATAAGGGCCTAAAGATTGGGGATCATGCTTCCCTCTGATATCATTGATATTTTAATTTTTTATATGTATTTTTCTTTTGGTGTATGGTTAAATTTCATCAAACAGGCATGGCTTGTAAGGTTGACAGTGAGAATTGCTACCATTTATTAATCTCTTGTACTTTTGTGAAAGGCTTATGGGAACAGTTTTACTCTTTGTTTGGTTGCAAGTGGAACCCACCATCAGATGTGAAAAGTTTGTTCGCACCTTCATTTTTTCAGATTGCCAAAGAAAAGGGGAAGAGTGATGTGGCATTGTGTAAGGGCTGCTGTTATTTTGACCATTTGGGAAGAAAGAAATTCCAGAATATTCTCTGGAAGGAGAAGAGCAAGGAAGCCATTCAAAAGGTAATTTTTATCAGGGTAATACATTGGCTTAAATCTATGGAGCTCTTTAACAGTGTGTCAATGGATGGCCTGTCAAGCAAGTAGTGGAGAGAATTTACTTTTTCAGCCCCAGGTCAGAAATTAGCAGTCCCAATTTGGTCCCCCCCTCCTAGTGGCTGTTGCAAACTGAACTTTGATGGAAGCAGTTTTGGCAACCCAGGGCCATTGGGTATTGGGGGTGTTCTAAGAGATGAGAAAGGGATAATAATTGCCGTGTTCTCAGGTCCAATTGAAGCTGGTTACTCTCTCAGAGCCGAGATTTTGGTGGCATTGGAAGGTGTTCAGAGACATAAAGAGTTAAATTTAAGAAAGCTGATCATCAAAGGAGACTCCAACTACTTCAAGTTGGTGGTGGACTGACTGAAGGGAGACAAAAATGGGATGTGGAGGTACAGCAATGAAAAGAAAAGATTCAAGTGGCTAACTAGAGACATGGAAGTTGAAGTAAATTGGGTCAAGAGGTGTGCAAACTCCTTTGCTGATGGGTTAGCAAAACAAGGGGTAAACAGGGATACTTTGTTGTGGTTTCAACTGTAATGCTTCAGCTTTGTTTGTTTTTTGTTGGGGGAGATAAGAAAGGTTATTTCCCCCTTTGTATCATTAATTTTTCTTAATGAAATCTATTGTTATTGATTAAAAAAAAGTTATTGGAGGTGATTCATATGGAAGAAGTTATGTGGAGGTAGAAGTCAAGAGCAATTTGGCTAAGAAAAAGAGACAAGAATACTGCTTTTTTTTTCCATGCACAAACTTGGTGCAGGAGGAGATATAACTTCATTTCTAGGTTGGAAGAAGAATCCAAAATCATTGATGATCCAAAAGAAGTGATGGAGGAAATTAGAAGTTTCCATATCAATATGTATAGGGCTACCCCAAGTAGAAAAGTTTTCCAGGGTGATGTAGAATTGGGAAGGATTGGGGAGGGCTTAAGGGGTTGGTTGGAAAGGGAGTTTTATGAACATGAAATCTGGGAGGTAGTTAATATTATGAAGGGTGACAAGGCTCCAAGTCTTGATGGGTTTAATATTTCATTCTACAAAAGTTGTTGGCATGTGCTAAAAGAGATGTGTTGAGGATGTTCAATGAATTTTGGCAGGAAAAAAATTATTGAGAGAAATGCTAATGCAACCTTCATTTCTCTATTTTTGAAAGTGGAAGGGGCCTCTAGAATCAAAGATTTTAGACCTATCACCTTAATTTCAAGCCTATATAAAATCATTTTGAAAGTTCTTTTAGAAGACTAAGATCGGTCTTGCATGATGTTGTGGACCCAACCCAAATGGCTTTTGTGGAAGGCAGGCAAATTCTTGATGAGGTGATGATTGCAAGTGAATGTGTTGAATCAATGCTGAGAAGTGGTCATCCAAGTTTAGTTTGCAAGCTTGATATTGAGAAGGATTATGATAATGTCGATTGGGGTTTTTTAGAGGATATCCCGGCTAGGATGGGTTTTGGGGAGAGGTGGAGAAGTTGGGTGATTGCATGTATTTCTTCGATCTCCTTTTCAGTTATTATTAATGGGATATCCAGACCTTTTTCCCAAGCTCACAGTGGATTGAGATAGGGAGACCCATTGTCCCCATTGTTGTTAGTCTTGGTAGCAGAAATCTTAAGTCACTTATTTTGTGAAGGAGCAGGAGTTGGAATGTCGGAAGGGTTTAGAGCAGTGTTTTAAAAACTGACCTAGAGGTTGAACTGTTTTTGCCTCTGGGTCGCGGGTCACTGGTTTGACTATCTGGGTCGAGCGGGTCGGATCGTGCCATGTCAGCATCTATTTATTTTAAGCATATATATATGTGTGTGTGTGTATGTATATATATGCACAAATACATATTTTATCAAATAAATAATGTATAATTATATTTAAGACATGATGTATGTATTATTTCATATTTAATTTATGTTTTTAATTTTTTTTAAGTATAAAATATTTAAAATTGCGATTTGAGGTAAAAAAAGTATATATATTTTTTTTTGTGACAATAGCGGGGCAAGGAACCTTTGGCACCTTGGGATGCATAGATATCGAAAGGTTACCCAAAATAAAAAAATCACCTCAATCGGACATCGGAGTGCAAAGTTATGGCCTCCCGAAGTTTGCATACATAGTTAGTATGCAACCCCTGACCCAATGACTGGGTCGTCGGTTCAACAGGTCAACCGTCTGGGTCGATAGTTTTGTTGACTTTTCAATGGTTTTTGGGGCAATGCCGGGTGTTATAAGAACCGAACCTGGAAAGTCGACTAGGTGACGGTTAAAAACATTGGTTTAAAGCAGGAAGACTTGGATATTCCATTACTGATCTTCAGTTTGTGGATGACACTGGTATTTTTTATTGCTAAAAAGCAAGTATAGCATAACTATGTGACAAGAGGTCACC